TTTTAAGAGCTCTCAAGAAAATCGAAAAATCATATAAAGGCAATTCATCAAAACCCGTAAATGCCTCGTAACCATGTAAACCTCGTAAACTTACTTCATTTTGTATGGAAAATCAAATTATTTACGGTTGAAAATTACAATAGGCTTGAAGTCTAGGAAAAGAAGTCTGATGAGGAGATATAGTGATCTACGAAATAACAGCTACTATATATAACTTTTACCACTTTGTTGCTTTTTCCAGTTTTCCTAATTAACATAATCTTGGTACAAAGCTCTATAGCAATATTAAAATTAAAATAAGCTAATTTATATGCGAGTTCAAGCTTCAAAAACTAAATTTTATTTTTTTTTTCATTGAATTTCCTAAAATGAATATAAAATTCCACTCATTTATCTATTTTATAGTAACATTTCTAAGTTATGTGATGGGATTCCAAGGAACACCTACCAATTAGTCAAAACTTTAAAGCCGTTTAACCCGTTAACCAGACTTTATGACATTTCTCAATTTGGAGAATATCAACATAAAATAATTAATTATTAATTAATAAATTAATGTTATATCCTAAATTTGGGCAAATCTCGATTAAAATTTGGAATTAAATTTCTCAAAAACGCAATTATAGAATTTCTCCAAAGCCTCAGAAAATGCTACTCTGTAGCTCACGAATTTCTTAATCTATTTTGTCGAATGTTATAATTGGCAACAATTTTGCATACGGCAAAATGTGATAAAAATTTGCATAACGGAGATAGCCCAAAATTTCGATTAATTTGGCTTAACTGCATTATTAACTCAATTTGGCCCAATTTTCTCAACACCTTAATAAGAGCCCTGCTCAGAATTTCTGAGTCTAAAATTAGTGTTTCTTTCGCCATAAATATGATTCTGAGACCAGTCAACCGACAGACTCTTTTCGTACTCTCTTGGTGTCTCTGTGTTCAACAAAAAAGTTTAAGTAAAAGTTTATAAATAATCAGAATTATAAAGAATATTTCAAGTCGAATAAATTTTTTTTCTATTCGGCTGCCGCTATCACCTTATATGAATTCAGAAAAGCATAATTTTTCAGACTCCAATATGACTCCTAACTTGGACTCATATTGGCGTGCTTATCTAAGAAGGGAAATATGATCTTTTCTGACTTTTTTGGGCTCATAATAAGGGTAACAACCCAGAATTCTGAGACTCTTAAATGTTTACAGGGTTACATGTTGCGGATACAATAAAATCTATCTATGTACACTTTTTTCCTTATTTGTTATACAGTTAAGACGACTTATTTTGGAACGAATTTTCGTCATCCCTTGCCAAGTTTGACCATGTCATTTTTCGTTCGAAAAATTCTGCTTTGTAACGAAATAGAAATGAATCGAAAGAAGTTTGACTTCCGCATTGTGGCCCAGGTGCATTCTGCTTTTTAAACGACGTGAAACAAAAAGGAGGAGGCTATCAATTCGTCGGAATATTTTACTTTATGTATGTACCCGGATAACTTTGGACCACGAAACCCGTTTTCGATAATTCGTTTTTTTTTTTTTATCGTAAAGGTGGTACCTCAAAGGTGAGAACTGATTTTATTTTATGTATATTAGTGTTCAATTAAAGTTATAAACATCAATTTATAAATTGTTGTTTGTACTTTCGTGACACATTTTTGACTGTGTAAGATCTGATGACCGAAACCATACATACCTACATACATATGTATGTAAGTATTTGTAACATGGCACAAAAACTATCATCCATAGCTAAAGGCACCTAATAACCATGGATGGAGGCAGAAAATGGTTTACGGGGAATCTTATGTCTAAAATTTACCACTCTTCCTCTTATATTTGTGCATAAAAAAAAAAATCCATGAAAATTTGAGCTCTTAATATTAATATTAAGTGCTCGACCAAGGCGTGCAAAGATTTCCCGTTTAAAATCACATGAACTTTGATTTTTTTCTTCAAAATTCTACAGATCATATGCATTTTATGGTACAACTCTTGTCAATGATGGGGTTTCTTCAGAATTGAATTCTCTATAAAAGTGTTCATTCCGGTATACCCTTAACTCCCACCAGCGAGGTATGTAGTACGGGTCACTAAACCCAATTTTGTGGAATTTTCATGGATTACTGAGCTAAATTGTAGAAATTGTGGATCAACTTCAAAGCCTAATACCTCAAGAAATATCGATGTTAGAAATTTGTAGGAATTTGAATGTCCTACAATTTGTCATTTACACTTTTTCTGTAGTTCTAGCTATTTACGAGATAGGGGCAAAAAAAAAACGAGAATTTCATGGAAAATTTGGATGCAGTGACCCGTACTACCTCGCTGGTGGGAGGTAGGGTTACGCCGCAATGGACACTTTTATAGAGCATTCAATTCTGAACAAAACCCAATCATTGACCAAGATCGTACTACAAAAT